CAGTATGAACTGACCACCACACAGAATATGAAGAATATTAAAAAAATTATGAGTCAGCTGTCTTCGGCAGTCGTTAAGGTACCAGCACAATAACACACTCAGCAAAATATCGTCTAATTATCGTTATCGATAAAATCCCATAAAATATCGAGATATAATTTTTTGTCAATATCGCACACCCCTAATATCGTGTGCCTCTCAAGAAATCACAGCTTGTCATAAGCAGCATCAACTAAGACTTCATGACTGTCAATCCAAATTCAGCTGCAAGCAGCTCTAAAAAGACAACAGGCTCATTATTCAGCTCAGTTCAGTTCAGGCTTTATTCTCAGATGAACGTGTCAGCGCTTTTGATAATTATTACTTAATTTAAACCCCAACTAATCAAGTCAAAGGTTACTGAGTGATAAAGAGTGATAGAGAAACATTGATGAATGAGAAAATAACGAGCTAGGCCTGAGAGCCCAAAGGTTTTAAAATAACTATGCAGCAAAATCACTGCCAACAGACACGTTATACTGTTGTCACGATATGTATTGTCACCATGTAGTCCAGGAGCACTGCTGTAAGCTGGCAGTAAGACTCGACGGCACGCTTCCTCTGCTGTAAACTTACCTCAACCAAACGCCCCAGATTACACTTTATGCCATATCGCTCAGTCCTACTGGAGCGTTTCCCAAAGCTGTTCGGCCAATATTACTACAGTTTCAACTGAGGGTGCTCTCACTCACATTTCACTGCGTCAGAGAATGATGTGAAATGATGAACAACTAGTTGTTTAAATGTGCATCAGAGTTGTGTCTCGCTTCTGTATGAAAACAGAAGCGAGGTGCAAGAAAACCACAGAGTATGTTCTGACTCATTAGTGGTGCCAGATCTTGCCAGAAAAACAACAATAAAAAAAAAGAACAAGCACATAAACTCAAATCCAAACGCGCTCCCTTAAAAATAAGCCACATACCACAATATAGCAACCTGCAGCTGCCTACTTTAATAACTCCATGAACTGGATCACTTTATGAGCAACAAGCCCAAACACAAGATGCTTAATTAGCATCTCTGATAACGGCTTCATCTCTATTATATCGACATACAGTAGTTTGATTACGAGGACATCTGAAAAACAGAGGAGGACACAGAGTGAGCTGCTGCAGGGAATGAGCATCATCTGATTTGTTCATCAGCCATGCTTTAGAATAACTGCTAAGATACAGTTAACATGCACAGTTGCTCTGACAGATACATGTGCGGACAGTTAGGCTACTCGTGCGGTTTGATACGCTTGAGATCCAGTGCTTTCCTCAGTGCATAACTCATATTCTCCACCTGTAAATGTTAGAGAGTCATGGAAACATGTCCATTCTGCTGTCAGGAGTGCATGAGCCTTCACTTCAGTCAACGAGCGCCAAACAGACGGAGAGCAATAAAACAGGACCACAATAATTCGGACTAAAATATATACGTTTTCCTAAAATATTTGTTGTTGGGCAATAAATGTGCCGTGTGTAGAATTTTAAACCTACATTAAGTGTGTTTTTATGAGAGCAGTAACTGTATCATATATATTGCAATTATTCTGTGCTTTTGTTTTTATTTATATTCACTTTTAGTTTAGTGAATTTAACTTCTGCTTTAAAATAGCATTATTTTTGTTTTTAGATCGTAATGTTGCTACAATGCTAGGATGCAGGATGTGAGCCAATTTTTAAAGGGGTCATATGATGCGATTTCAAGTTTTCCTTTCTCTTTGGAGTGTTACAAGCTGTTCGTGAATAGATAAGATCCCTAAAGTTGCAAAGACTAAAGTCTCAAAACCAAAGAGATATTCTTTATCAAAGTTAAGACTCTGTCACGCCCCCCTAAAACGGCTCGTTCTAACACACCCCCACATATCTAGGTCACTATGTGGGAATATTAGCATAATGCCGCCAAAATGTGCACGCAAAGAAAGAAGGGCGTGGTTTCAGTAACCGCAGTTAGTGTTGAAGCAGCATGTCAGGGAGACGCTGTGTGTTTCTAGGCGAAAGCAAAAGCACTTTATTTGGCCTTCCGAAAGCAGATGCATTTAGGAATCTTTAAGATTACTTACAACAGAACAGCAATGCATTTTATGGACGACCGTTTCGTGAACCTAGGAGAGGAGGTAATTCTGACTTTGCTATGACAATCTGGCGCTTCTGAATCAGCGACTGTAAGTATGTTTTGTTACTAGTTTAAGTATTTGCTATTGACTGTTCAAATGCGGAGTTTTGCGCATCGTGTGTGTCTGTGTGTGTGTGTGTGTGTGTGTGCGCGCTGTGTGTGAGAGAGACAGCATCACATCACAGTAGAGTCAGCCGTCTTAACCGCGGCTTGTGTACTGCATCATTACTGTGTCTGTTCCCCTTTCGGACTTGAACTGATGGTAAAACTAATGACAATAAAAACTGATTTTTAAATTAAGTAAATTTTTTTTTTATCCAAACAGAAAACTAGAAAATAGCCACATGTATACCTAATTTTGCAATTCAGCCAAAAAATAATAATTTTTTTAGGCATATCGCCCAGCTCCATGAACAACACACCCAAAGTACCAGTTATTTATTTATTGCTACCGACAATGTGTTTTCTGTCCAGTTTTAGCTTGATAAAAACACATATTTTATATATATTTAATTGATTAGGTCAACCGGAACCGGGAACACTTCCCATAACACCCGATGTATGATGACATCACTGAATTCAATGATGAACTGCCTTTAACTGAAAATGGAGTGTTTACTTTTGTCATTTTGCATTATTGACACTATTTTCCTAATTAATGCTGTACAGTTGCTTTGACACAATCTGTATTGTTAAAAGCGCTATAAAAATAAAGGTGACTTGATGAAACCATCGCATGTTTCACATCAAATAATTTGTGCTGTCACTGTGCTGTCGACTCTGTTGAATGCATGTATCTTTTAGTTTAAACTGTTATAATAAAGTCAAAAAGGAACGAGCACTGAAATTAGTTGAGCACTGTACAATAAACTAAATCAATGAATACACACAGTCAGTATAACAACTGCAAAATGTACCTTGTCTCTGGTGCAGATGTGCTTCTTTCCTCTCACTTCACACACTCGTGCAAATTTGAGGAAGCGCTGGTAGTCGAAGTTGTTCTGAATGCCGAGATGATAGCAATCACTGTCCAAAAGAACACACTTTCAGTTAGCAATGCTGAAAACATCATCATTAGCTTGGTGCAAATAGTCTTACCGAGCAAAATAATCCCACTTATCCACATCAATGCCGTTTCTTTTGTTTGCTACTATCTCATACAGGAATGATTTCTCCATCGGCCTGCCCTTATATGGCCACTGCAGGGTTAAAAGAAAAAATGCTGCACGTTACTTTGAGTAGAGCAGAAAAGTCACTTAGTCTTTCCCGAAAGGTTAAAGTATTCCACACAGCTGCAGTGGTTTCTAAAGCGATGAGGGGGTGAACAGAGCCAAAATCAAATATAGTGAAAACCACAAGCAATGAGGCTGGATTTTGACTTTCACTTCAGTCTGTTCTTCATATCAAGTGAGCACATGGCTTCAGCAGTCTTGCATTAAACCAGTGTAAGGTTTACTATGCCGCTACTTGTAAGCTTTACAGTATGGACAAACACAGTGCTCTGCAGAACAAGGAACCGGAGTCAATGACGCAACCGTTGGTATAAAGGCTTTGTCAGCTTATTTCCCACAATAACGCTTTATAAAACGGTTTCCATGGAAATAGTGGGTTGGGAAAGTTGTATCAAAGTTATAGTCACATTATTTAGTCCTTGAATTAGTCTTGAACAGCAACAACAAAGCTCTACAGAAACGAGTATGTGATGTTGATGTCAAGCGATGGTTTGTCATACAAGTGTTTTACACGAGGCAGCAGCCATACGCACCGAGCTGTTTAAGATGGAGTTATCCAGCGGCCCGGCGATCTGCTCCTTAATGAACACCAGGTCGACAGGAAGAGTCAGCCCGTGGCGCTCCATGACCTCCTCCAGACCGTTCACTCTCACCAGGTGGTCAAACATCTGAACAGAGGCCATCTCGTGCTGCACAGCAGAGATCAAACCTGTCAGTTAGCGTTACTGGCGGATCAGATCTACAGGCGAACATGATGAATCCCACACCACAGAGCTACAGGAACAGATGTTTCTGTCATCTGTGTGTCAGCCTCCACACACAGAGCCGTCTCTTTCCTCTCAGCAAGATGATTCCAGCTATCAGACCCTTGAGGACTACTAACGGTGCACAGACTAACACAACAAGCTGAGAAACGGGCCAATCGCATGCATGGTTTTACACTGGGGACGGTTTTAACACACGTACCTTCCATTTCTCTCCAGGTCGAACTTTAGGGATGAACATGCCATCAAACATATGAGAAAACGGGCCATGACCTGAACAAAAGACAAAAGGCTTTTTTAAAGAATGAAGATGCAAACCCATTAAAGCCATTAGCATGTGCTCTTAGATTAGCGGCTGTGAATTTGAATCCTGAAGAATGTCCAGTCACTGGCCTTGTTCCTGGTTTGTGGTCAAATTTTGTAAATTAGGCCCAAATTACAAAGCAGAAGGAGGTAGGGCTGTCCAATAAAAATTAGAATTTAAAATATTTGTTACATTTAAAATAAAAATCCACATTGGAAACAGTTCATTCGAATTTTAGGTGTGCGTCAGGCAGCCTTATCAGACGATGTAAGAGTCGTTGCATTATAATGCTTTTGTTAGTCTATCCAGTTGAAGCACCAGATGCGGCGCTGCTGCGTTGTTCATTCAAAATATTGCAGAAAAAGAGAACATCGATGCGGGGAAGATCTTGTTTACGTCAAGACTGAAACCAAGCCGCTCACACAGAACGCATATTTATCACATTTTCTAGAGGGACATCTATCACCATTGCACTCGCGTCTCGCACAAGAGAGACGCATGTTTAGAAAGCCATGTAAAATTAATGTAAGTTCAACTTTTTAAAAACATGTCTCAAGACTTTATGACAGGTTTTTCCCATCCCACTGCATCTCATGATTTAAATGAAAAAAGTACTCTGTGTGATTGGCTTTCGGCCTATGATGCGGTTTCGTTTATAATTGTTTAAGCAACTTAATTTTATTCCGTTTATAAACATTATTTTAAACATTATGCACTTTTTCCACAGATAATAGTGTTATTTTATTGCTTTGAATAAGCGTGTAGTAATATTTTGCTCGATGCGCCCTCTTGTGGCCTCAGGAGAGAAGTCAAACGCTTTTCTTCACCCTAGCTGAAATTATGCATTTTAAATTCTAATATAATTCTTATATTGATCATATTTAAGTGCAAAATTTGAATTGAGCTTTTCAGCCCTAAATGTGAGATCAAGGCCCGAAGTCAGTCATCACATCTCAGAAAGTATCCGGATTATTGAAATGTTCCTTTAAACCAATCATTTTATCATCTGACTGTAACGAACACGAGTCACTGTGGATATGTTGTGACTCGCTCACCTTTCTACCTGAACATGAGCGTCACTCACCCAAGTCATGGCACAGGCCAGCAATCTGCACACACAGAACATCTTGCTTTGTTATGAGGAGCTCCGGCTGTCTTTCATTCAGAGCCTGCACTAGACATCCGGCCAAATATCCCACCCTGCACCACACAAACACAAAGCAGCACATAAGAAACAGCGACTTTGTAGAAAACACCCATCCCCACTGCTCCACTCGCTTGAATGCATGTTATTCATCGGTGCACTGCATGCCAAAAAATAGAAATCAAAAATACGGGTTATATTTGCTACCCTCCATGTATCTGCAAAAGCCTGCTCCAGCTCTTTCTCTCAGAGCTGATGTACGTACCCGACGGAGTGCTCGAAGCGGTTGTGAGAAGCCCCGGGGAACACCAGGTAAGTCCCTCCCAGCTGCTTGATGTGGCGCAGCCTCTGGAACTGAGGTGTGTCTACGAAGCGCAGCAGCAGAGGGTGCAGCTCGATGTGGCCGTGGATCGGGTCGTTCAACACCTGCAGCACAGCATTACACATCACCTTGGCAAAGCTCTGGCTTTAGAGACATCTGCAGCCTTCCCAAAGCTTTAGCATACCTTCATGGACTCATTGGAGACTTGCCAGAGTTTCTGCAGGCAGTGGAGGATTTGCAGGCGTGATCCCAGAGGGCTGAATGAGGAAATACAGAATTAACTGCAAAAATAAACTGGGAACAAACAGCTAATTTTCAAGATGGGCTTGACTGTGGTAGAAGTGCGGTTTCTACTGTAATGAAGTAACACTTACAAAACACCCATCTTCTCCAAATGCGCTTCGGTGAGGAACGGCAGGCCTGGCCCTGTTATGCCATGTTCTGAGAAACAGATAAATAATAAATAAAAAACTTGATCAAATGCATATAAACTAAACAACACTTTCATTAGGAGCCACCTATTGCAATCATTCGTTTTCCGTCATGAAAATTTTCCCGCCATTTTGAATTTTTCTAAAAAGCTACTTTTTCGGACTCCTCCTGGCCTTATGACAACCCTGACCTGAGAGCACCTGCACCGTTTTGGCACACAGATATGGAAATGGCTGTTTTTGCTAATAACTTCTGAATAATTTGGACGAAATTTGTGTAAAAAAAAAAAGCTTTTTTTATTTTATGTGAGCGTATCATTACGAAACTCTGTTTGTGTTTTCAGCATCATGCCCTCATTTACTCAATTTAGTCAAATTATAATTCAATAAAAAATGCTAGTAGTTTTTGAATATTTCTGCCTATTGTCACGATTCCTTGGATCATGCCGAGAACATCCATATAGCGTTGGGAATCAAAAATCGATTCAGATGCCAGAATCGGATACTTAAGGTCAGGAATCGGACACTCGTTGTCAAATTAAAATTTTATTCCGCCTATCGATTCCTATGTGCTTTTTCTTCTTCTTCATCTGTGAGGACCGGAGCTAGCGATCTGCCAGGACCTTGCTCGCTAATCTAAGTGCTCCAAAGTTTGGCTACATTTGTGATCAGAAGCCAAAAAAGCTAAGTATAATATCTGTGATAGCTAAACATGTTGCAAGAGAGGTGTCACCACCAACATGACAAAGCACTTTAATTTAACAGATCGTTAAAGATCGCGAACACGATTCAAACACCAATGTGATTCTGTTCCTAAATACACAAACAGCTCTTAAAGAGTCCAGTTCTTATGTAGCCTGTTCAGTGTTTCCCCTAGGTTTACGGCTTTGGGGGGGCGTTTTTTTTTCTTTTTCTGGACTCCTTTTTAATGGTTCAATTAAATTTTATTAAACAAAAAGCATGTCTAATTAATTAAAATCATGAAGCTTAAACAATTTAACATCATTTTATTAAAAGTTTAACAAACTTGTCTAAAAAAAAAAAATTAAATTAAAAAAAAGTTTAACAAAAATTACATGTTTGGGGCCCTATGAAATGTTTTATTTTTCCAACCTTATGTTTTATTGTTACCAATTCTGTGTTTTAGCATGTCTAATTATTTGAAAGCATAAAAACAAGTTTCAATTATTCTTACAATAGCCTTGCGATTCTTTCCCCTCAGAAATTCTGTGTTGGGTATTTACATTTTTTAAGGCATAAAACATTCATTTAATTTATCTTTTAAATAATGAAAACTAAACATTTATTTTTTGGAAAATAAAAGTCATTTAATATTACAATTAAAATATTGAAGAAATATTGTATGATTATTCTATATTGTATGATATACTACTACTACTATAATTTTAGTAGTAGTATTACGTACATTCTACTGAACGATAGTAGGCTAATATATTTCTGCCACAATGTCTTCAAGTTAAACCAAACTTTTATTTTGACGGGTTGCCGTGAATACCTTTACATTTCTGTGTGTATGTGATATGAGGATAGTTGTACTCAAATGAAACGTTCAAATGCTCATGAAGTGACTCTCAGAGCAGTTCTGGAGATGTTGTTCATGTATTTATGTCCTCATTAGCGAGACGGCAGACGCTAATATCACCGCAAGCGTCGCGCGTGCTTCAGTACGAGTAGTACACAAAACCACGCGTCTGCGCAATAACACATAGACACACAGAATTCATATTTAAATATGAATCGTTTTTGCGGCTTAATATTTACAAATACTAGTGGGAGTGGGAGTGTGCTCACTTGTGCGCGATACAGAGAGCGTGACCATAACGTAGAGACAGAAATGACATGCCGTCGTGTAAATAAGATAAATAACATAAGGCTATTTAGTTTGTTTAATAAAAGAACAAGGTATAGACATGTTCAATAGAAAAGGTAACTTTAAATGACTTCTGTTGTGATCTGGCACTATAGAGGAAATAGAATTAAATAAAATTAACTTGACCTTCAAGGGGGGCGGGGGGGTGCCGTTGGGGGGGTGGGCCGTCCCCCTGATATAACGGTAGGGGAAACACTGCTGTTGATTTCGGTTCATGGTATTCAGCTCCAATAAATGGTTTGCAAAAAAGAGACACAGGATAAATGTTTGATATCATTATTTAATCACATTGGAATCGAAACTGGGAATCGAAAAGAATCGGAATCAATAAGAGGAATCGAAATTGATAAAATTCAAACGATACCCAACCCTACATCCATACCAATTATCCCATAATCTGCTGAACTTCCTTTCCGCCATTTTGATTTTCTTTGAAAACATACTTTTTCGAACTCCTCCGAGACCATTGGTCAAATATTCACCAAATTTGACTCCGATCATCTTCGGACCATGCCAGCAAAAAGTTATGGATTTGTTTTCATTTGTGAGCTGACAAACTTCTGTAACTGACACCAAACTTTATGAGTGTCATTGTCACCTCACACTGACCACACCACACCAATTTAATAACAGCGCCACCTATTGCTCTGAAGTAAAAAGCAATTATGTCACATTACAGCTCATTGTATTTATGGGTTTTCAACCATTTCGCTCCAAATCGTCTCCAGGTGTGTTTCTTTAGGCAGTTTTGCAGTTGGTCTGATGCTCCGTGCCTTGTTTAGCTCCACATTCTGCCTCTGTTGTGCTTGCAGCTATATTTATAATTATACATACAATAATATAATAATAATATGCAATTACCATGACAACTAGGGTTGGGTACCGAAACCCGGTGCCAATATGGCACTGGTACCTATGTAACCGGTATGTACTAGAACCGAATCAGAACGCAGATTTCGGTGCCATGCCTGAGCGATCGATTGAGATATTTGTCCTGGTTCTCTGAAATGGATGTAAGAAGCTTGGGCGTCGCTAGGCCATTTTTAACGGGGCTATAGCGATTAGCTCCATAAACTGTACACAAATTCGTGATCGCCTCAGAGTCAGTCCCCTTTAAATTTCATATGAACACGGCGGCAGACCTCGTCTCCTCCCCGTCTTTCAGCGCGCTCTTCAATCCGCAGACCACGGCGGACTCACACAGAAACAGAGGACACAAGGTGTGTGTTTATCCATAGATTGTTATAATATCTGTATCTGTGCAGTTCTTCGTCATAAATACAGTTTACAAAAGGTCACGAGGGAACAATCGGTTTCCCATCTACTGTAAAGTTTTCGCTGCGTTCACCCCTCATCACACCACAGCTGTTTCCTCCAGAGAAAATCTAGCCCTTAACACATATGAACGCATACTTTATAAAACGATCATGTTGCTATTTTCATTTGAAAATGTAATATTTAATATAAAACATATTACAGTGCATGTGGCATACCATACAGTCATTCACAGAACTGATTAAAGACAGTGACAGACAGCACGTTAACTAAATATCAGAGTGATTGACAGATACAGTAGAAACATTTTGTGTGGTTTTGTATTAAATATGGTTTTGTATTAAATAATGACCCAGATCGTGAAATACATTTATAAGCCTTAGAGTAAGGGAAGAACAACTCGGGAAATGAGAGCATCCGAGGAGCATGTGAATGTTATGTACAGTATCTCAGCCCTCTACGAACACCTTGGCAATTGAATCGCCATTGGCTAGTAAATTTTTTAGTTTACTCGCCAT